AAGCAAAAAGAGGAAGATTGGCAACAGATGTTAGCCAAGGGGCAATCTTCCTCACCAAAAGAAAATAATAATAATAATAATAATAATAATATCACTTGATCATAGACTGGCTACATAATATTCTCTGCTTTAGTGTCATTATATGACTAAATTAATACTTCTGTGGAAAACCTCAGAACTCAAGATATTGAAACTTCTTGAGTTTACATTTGCATTCTTATTTAATTTTCAATATCCAATAGCAAGAATAAAATATAATTCAAGTTAATATGAAAACTTCCATGTCAACATAAATTAAAATGCAAGATATTCTCTTTTAATATAAAAGAATCTGGTTTTACTAATATTAAGGACTTCCATGATTCTAAGATGCAACTGCATATTTTTAAAATAAATTTAGTTCAAACACAGAACACACCTTTTGTTCGTGAAATTCTAAATATCTTTAAAATGAAAATTATTCTGATTATCAAGCTACAAATGAAAAAACTCTAATAAAGAAAAGTTACTATTACATTCAAATATTAACAAATTTAATAATTTCCTTTAACAAAAATACTATGATTCATATGCCAAGAGAGCAGAGGAACTTAACCCACAAAAATCCCCTCAAAGTATCTTGTTATGCTTTCAATATAGTACACAATATGCCACGTAAACGTAAAAAAGATAAATTTATCAGAGGAAATATTTTCTACAACTAAAGATATACTGGCATACTGTACAGTAATTCATGAAAAAAACAAAACTACAAATAGAATGCTATAGAATTATAGTACCTAACACACCTATTCAAAAAAACCCTTTTGTGACTACTTTCATTAAATATTAATCCTCTATTTTATCTTTTTCAAAAATATGTATATATTAAAATCTTTAATAAAAAGAAAGTTTCACACTAAAACAAAGAACACAATATTTACACAGCATTTACTTCAAGGAAGGAAAAACCTTATATAAACGTATGTTAAGTGTGTTTACAATGGGAGCAATGGATTAAGTAGTATGCCTATTTTACAACTAAAACAGTCAACAAAATTCATCTTCTATAGTTAAACATTCTTATACTCCCACATTAAATAACTCCTCCCAAAGCCAAAATCAGTTTCTTTCACTGGTAAAGCTACAATGCAAAATCCTTGACAACACACTTTCCTGTAACGTTATTTACAAACTTATCTTCCTGATGCTACCACCTCATATTTGAATGTTTTTTAAGTCAACCATAATATCATTATACAAAATACATCCATCTACCCCAGGAATTACTCATTTTATTTCTCAATACATTGGTGATTCTTCAACAAACTCTCACAATGCACCTGAGTAATGGAAACAGATCTCTACCTTTAGCAAACAAAAGAAGAAAAATTACAGCTACTGCTGTGTTGAAGAAGTCCTATATTTTACTGCATGCTTAAACTTTACTCTGCAAAACTTTTAATTCTTTGGGCAAGGCATGTGAGAAATAGCACCTAAAAATCAAGAATTTGTATTCTCATAGAGAAAGAACGTACAGGGAAAACAGAAAAATACTTTGACAGAGGTGACTGAGACAAGGGTATTGTTCAAGGTAGAAAGTGTTTTGTTTTGAAGTTTCATTAGTCCCCTCTCATTTCTTTTCATAATAAAGGGCACTGTGATAGATATTCACTCTTCCCACCTTTTTTATTTAATGTTTTAAATTAACTGAAAATTGAAAAAACTCATTTTAGAGATATTAGAGGCTTCCAACCTCTAACAAGTCACTGAGTGCCCTAAATGGATTTTTGCTGATCTACCTGTTAAGTAAATAGAATTAAGTTTTGATAATTATTTTTTAAATGCCTATGATTTCCAAATATTTTTAGAATCAGCTTAAATTTTCACATGACATTTTCATCATGAGTATATTGGAAAGATAAAGCCCCAAACCTACAATTCAAGAAATATTACACTTCAAATGACTAATTCATATTCCACAATCAATATAATTAACAACTTAACAGTAAACAGCTCCTTTTGTCATTTATTCTTTTCTCCAAAAGTTTCCATTTAAAGATCTACTGCATTCTTTAAATACATACAAAGAAATTTTAAACTTAACTTTTCTGATTCCAAAAATCAATGCAGTTACAAGGTCTTAAGTGGATCTGGGGATGTACCATTTCAGTATTACCTTATTTCTGATTACTCTAATTAAGCTTAACAGTGAAGTTAGTCTCTAAAATAAGGTTTGCATACTGAGACTTGATGCCAGATTTTTCATTGCACTAAACGGAGTTCAATTTCTTTTTTACCTCAAAAGAAATATTTCACTTCCTTTCTTAACATACTGTGTATCTATGGAAGCCCATCTGTTAAGGACTGATCCAGCATACATCACTACTGCTGCAGAGTCCAGACTGGTTACACATTCAAATCAGCTTCCAGCTTGAGAGCCCTACTGCCTCTTACCATGTTAAAACGTATTAAGTAAGCACACAAATACTTATTCAAATAATCTAATATCACATCATCTAAAGTACAAATGGTATTGGTTAGACAAAAACTGGAAAAAACTTTAAATGTGTTCTTTTAATTTACAGAAATACAGTACCTGATAACATACTAACATATTTTGAGATTTCACCTCTTTTCTTTAAAAAAAAAAAAAGTACTGATCTCCTATCTACAACTTGTTAAAATTAAAACTCCCAGGAAAACAATATTTCTATTAGTGTTTCAAAAAGAATTTGGTTAAATCAACGCAGTGACATTTCCCCAAACTTATACTGACTTTCGTAGTGATTTACTTGAAGGGTACACAAAAGTAGAAAGAGGTATTTTGTATTTCAACAGTAATACACGTAACAAAGTAAAGACAGATAGTCTCCTATCTTTGACTTGACACTCTAGCAAAAAGAAAAAAACAACCAGCTTTAACTTTTCTGTGAATTTAAGAGGTTCATAAACCATAGACAATATCTAATCCATGTCTCAGGGCACCACTGCTGTAACTGCAGCTTTCTTTCAGTTTTCCAAGAGATCAAATAAAAATAATTGCTTAGCTGAAAATTCAGACTGCATGGGTGTTATAAAATCTCCTTGCAAGCATATTTTTATATTCCTGTGACTCCACACCAAATACAATAGTTAACTGATTGCTCCTGATTTAAGCTTTGCCTTATAAAACCCAACCTTACAGTGTGTCAAAGACTAGATATTGCAGAGGAAACTATTTAAACAGCTTTGCCGCAGCAAAAACTGCATTTACAAAGCATTAAAAATGAACTGGTGTTAATTATCCGCAATTTATGACTCTCTCCTTCTTATTTCTTCCTGACATCTTGAACGTTTCTTAGCCTCTTGGAAGATAGCGCAAAACATTAAGTCATACACAGTTCTGCAGTAACTCTTTCTTATCATGAAAGAAACCAAAACCTAGAGCTGCATTTAACACCTTTCCTTTAGTCTTTATCCACATGCCACGCTCTCGGAGGGCAACCATAGAAACCAACCTGTATGATTTGGTGTCCTCATATTTTAACACCTTGTATGCACAAAAAATGACTAAGAGGTCAGCATATTCAGGGCAATATTACAAAGAAAAGAAGGCTGCCTAAAAAGAGATGGGGGGGTGGGGGGATGGAGGAATACAGCCACAACACTCTCCATCATAGCCTCGGAATATATTTAAAGGCAGATGCAAAACTGCATCATTTTCCTCCTCATTCGAAAACATCACACCCCAGCTGCTCAAGTTAGAGCTAATGCGCCTCTCACATTTCAGTAGCACGGGGGAATTTAGGCTCTAGGGGCAAGTCTTTCATCCTCGGAGAGTGACACCACGGACAATTAAGAGTGTGGGAGAAAGAACCCCAGAGAAAAGGAGGCCTCCTCTCCCCCTAACTAAACTCTCAAGTCGACCCAAAACCTGCATGGCAAGGAATGACTACTACTCGCAGTCATAAGAAGTGTAATAAGCGGTGTTAAGTTGGGCACCGCGCTCAGGTGGCAGGAGAGGACCAGAGGAGAGCAGGGAGGTGGCGTGGCTTCGGCAGCGCGCAGGCAGGTCACCTGCTGGGCAAGACCGGCCGGACGTTCTGTGCTCGCAGGGACGCGCGGCGCGTGTGACCCTGGGGATGGAGGGGTGGGAGCGAGCGTCTGCGGAGGGAGGCCATGGGGGCTGGGAGGCAGATGGGGAACACGCCTTTTCCCTTACCAGGTTGAGCACCGTCTCCACGATGTCCCTGTTGCTGACCTCTCCGACCTGTATGAGTCCAATCAACACTGCGAATTTCATCCGGATGTTGCGGATCGGCACCGAAGGGTTAATCATCCCCGCGGGCAGCACCACCGAGCCAGAGCCGGACGCCCCCCTCAGCTCCCCCATCCCGCCGCCCCCGCTGCCGCTGCCGCTGCCGCTGCCGCCACCGCCGCTGCCCCCGCCGCCTCCGCCTCCGGCCCCGACGGCGAGGAGCCCCACGGGCTGAGGCTCGAGCCCCGGGCCCGGCTTCTCGCTCGCCATTTGCCCCCCTCCTGGGGAGAAGGGAAGAGCAGTGGCGCTGCCTCCGCCGGTACCGTTATACCTGCCTCGGCCCCCGCCCCCCGGCCGTCTCCTCGGAGCCCCAGCATCCACCAGCGCCGCGGCGCCGGGCCCGCTCCCCGCCTGCGCCTCAGCCCGGCCCGCTCCGGCACCCTCCCCGGCGGAGGCGGTCGGTTATTCTCAGGCTTATTCCCGGTGGTGGCGGCGCCGCTAACCGCTGCCCGGCAAGCGGCAGTGCCCGCCCAGCAGCTGTGCCGCCGCCGCCGCCGCTGCCTCCTCTCTCTCCCCCTCCCGGTCCGTCCGGCCCGGCCCGCCCCCCGCGGAGATGCTGCCGCCGCTCCGAAAGGCACTGCGCGGCGAGCAGCAGAGCCCGGCGCTGGCCGGTGCTGAAGCTCAGGCTGTGGCCGGCACTCCAGACGCCGCTGCTGCCGCTGCTACGGGCGCCACTGTTGTTGTGAAGCCCCGACGCCGCCGCTCACTCCGCCATGTTGCCGCCCCCTGCCTGCGGTAGCGGCCACTGCGCCTGCGCAGAGCCTCCGGGAGGCGGAGCCCTCGGTGCACCCCCTCTTTGCCCTGCCCTCCTTCCCTTTCCACTCACCCACCCAGACACCCCTCATCCCTCCCCCAACCACCCTGAACGGATAGACAGGTGAGCAGGTGCATGGGGACCGCTGCCAGACACTGGGGCAAGCTGGCAGAGGCGGGGCGGGTGGTGGCTTCCTCGTCGTTTTTCCCTTGAGGGTGGATTCTCCCTGTGGGGAAGGACACAGTGTGTGTCTTGCCTTCGCTGCCACCTCCTCCTTCCCTCAATATCCTCTTGCTAAGGAGGAGGTTCATCATCTTCGTCGTTGCATCCAGCAGCTGCTGCCAGTGCCACGTGTCGTGTAAGGTAGGGGAGTGGCAGACGACCTCTTTCTGCCCCTCTTCGCCCTTCCTCGCAGTCCTGCCCGCCTGGCCCCTCCTGGAATTTCCCAAAGAAAAAGTGGCTGGCAAAACAGAAACAAACGCACCGTGGGGAACCATCCTGCATTGTCGGGGGAAGGTTACAGATAGAGCGTAATGGGTCTTTCTCTACAGCCATGAAAGAGGCTGACACCTGCACACACAGGCACGACTTAAAATAGAACTTGTCAAACAGTGATCCGCTCTGGATGGAGCTCTGAACAACAAACAGCTCTTGAACTCACCTCCCAGCCTTCAAAGGCTGCGCTGTGCGACACTGTGGGGTAGTTTGGTGGGAGCTGCGAATCCCACACTTTAAAAATCCCTAGCGATGCTCAGGTATGATGCCAATTAGTGATGCCTCTCTTTTTCTTAGGCATGTACAGCTCAGAGGATTTTGAAATTATCTGAAAATATAGGTTTTTCTCACTGCTAGCCTTGATCTGGGATAAAGGTAAATTTCTGTGTCTGCACAAATATAGAGCAAAAAAAAATACTTTCAGTTTAAAAAAATTAAAATGTATACAGTAATCTTGCTTCAAGTATTGAATTTAAATAAGCACGACTGCTGTTTTCTTCCCCGAAATGAAGGATGTAATTTTCTTTAATATTTCATGACGTATGCCCTTTTCAATAAAGATATATTACAAGCCACCAGAAATACAAAGTATCTTGAGGTATATTCAGATCATTTTAATTGTCATCTAAAATGAAAACAGTCCATATACAAATCTATTATTATCCAATTTGTTATACTCATATTTAATCGGACTAGGTAGTCAAGTTAGTTCCCAGACTTTGGAACACGGTAAAATTCTGAAGTACCACAGATCCTGTATAACAGAGTTCCTCAAAACCGGTGTTAAGGATTAGTTCTTGGTTGTGTGTGTGTTTGTTTAAACTTGCACTGAAGTGATTGAATTATTAAAAATTACGCAAAAATTTCTGAAGTGGTAGGTGGTATGTCTATTTAAATTAAATAGCAATTGAATTGTAAAATGCTGCAATGATTGAAGCTGTATAGGAAGTTTATAAAACCTATTAGTCTCAATAGTGTGACTTAGATATGCAATAATTGAAAAATCCTGTGGCAAATGATATCCACCTATAGCATTTTATCTGTCCCAAGTGAGTATCATCTTCTTTAGCAAGCGCTATTTTCATTTGCGAATTTAAAATGATGTATCTGTCTTAAATATGTGAATCCAGGCCAAAAGGTCGTCACACTAGCTTTGTTCCACCCCATTGTGCGTGTATGTGGCACTAGGTTCTACCTCTTACTATTTTTAGACTTCTTGCGTGAGTGCTTTGAGAGACAGGGACGACCTGAACTTTCTGTTTCCTTTCTGAATGAATAGCTTAACCTCTTTTAATATTTTCACTTTAATTTTCTCTGTTTTGTTTCTTAAACAGTATGTGTGTGCATTTTGGTTTTGATTTTCTTGTTCATTTTCCTTTAGTGGAGAAAGGGAGTGGGTAAAGAGGATATCACTTTCAAAGTAGGAAAACCCCACTTCTGTTGAATACTTAATTAAATATTAGAAATATTTAAAACAGCTTACCAATTAAAAAGCATTCCCCAGTACACTGTCGGATCCTCGCAGGCAGGGTGGTGCTGTGGAAAGTGCACGGGCTGTTGAATCACACACACTTAACTAGCTGCATTCTACTCAAGTTATTGAGTTGTCTCCTCATTCACTAACAAGGATGAGAATACCCATCCCATAGGGAAGCGAGAATTCAACGAAATAATTTCAACTCAGCAGCCAGCATATAGCAAATCTGTCCTTGTACCCTTAGTATACAAGCACAATGTGTGTTGAATGACCTATAAACACATGTAAGAACAATTATAGCCACATACAAGTCTTTATAATTGCAGTTTTATGTTTTCAATACTATCCCCCAAAGCATAAAGTTTAGAAAAGACAGTAGGTCCGTTTCCTTTTAGCCTACGAAGCCTGTTTCCCTGCAAATGTACAAATAACTTATCCTTTGCATTAACAATATTTTGAAATAAAAGATACCTATATAATAATAGAAGCTACCTAAAATGTTCATTGTTTAAATCTCCAGATTGAAAAATATTTTATGTGGTGAACACTCATTTGGTATACATTTTTGTTTTAATAGAGGCATACCCATACTTCCAAAGGACGATCCTTCAAAGATAAGCGGCCCATGAACCTGAGTTTCTAGAGACAGTACTGCAAGTGGTTGAGAACACCGGCTCCAGACTCAGTGGAACCTGGGTTTGGATTCCAGTTCCACCACCCACTTATCTGTGTGATCTTGGGCAAATGGCTTCTCTTCAAAGCCTTATTTTACCCACCCCAAAGTAGAGATTCACAGGATTAAAGGATTAAAGGAGCTAATACATTTAAGGTACTTAGTGTAGTAGCAAGTGTCAATAAATAACGTTTCCCTTCACTGACTGTAGGAAAAGAAATGTTATAGTTATTTTTGTGTTTTCAGGACCTAACATGCCTGTCTTGTAATTTACATTTAATAAATGTGTTCAAAAATGAATGCATGAAAACAGCAGCTCTCCAGGCTGAATATTCCCATTGCTTTCGCCTGTTCTTCTTTCCTCTAAACTTTATCTGAACAGAGTACTTCAAATTCCAAGTAGGTTCAGACCAGTATAAAGCAGAGGGAAACTCTTACCTAAACCTCAACCTTTGGAACTATAACTCCTGTTAATGTAACCCTAAATCAAATTAGTTTGGTTTGGTTTGGTTTTGGGTTTTTCAGCAACATGACCCTAATAATTCATGTAACACACTAATAATTCATGTTTGGCAAATAGTAGATTCTCAGATAGTTTTGGTTCCATTCCCTCTCATGTTAAAATTATTATCAAGTGAAACACCAAGGTTTTTGTTTTGTTCTTACTGTTTTGTTTCTAGACATGCTGCTGCTAAGCAGCAGCCTGTATCCAATATGTAGCTTTACATGTAGATTTTAAGATATAAAATGCAGAATTGTATGTATCTATTTAAATTTAATTTTATCTTTATTTAATTCACATTTTCTGTTTAAATTTAATCTACTAGGAATTTCTTAATCTTGATTATATCATGCAAAAAATTTTTCTTCTTCTTCTTATCTGCATATTTGAGAACATTCCTTCTCTACCTTCATCCAAATATTCAACAGGATAAAAACGGCTCTGTAGTCAGCAGAAACCTTTCGATTGAAATCAATTCAGTAGTAGGTTGCAACCAGCAGTTTTTTAAATGAAACGGAATAGAAAAACATAGGATGGAGTATATCAAAGGGCATCCATTGTTTTAATCATACACACACACACACACACACATATATGTATGTACATGTATGCTTACTTGGTAATGATGTAAAATGTATTTTTTAATCGCTAGTCATAGTGAAAAAGTTTGAAAACCACTGATTTAAGTTGTTTATAAGCACCTTTTTGGTAATAACCCTGCAACTATTAAATAGCTACCATCCTGTGCTAACAAGTAGTCCATATTTCTCTAACTTATCCAAAAGGATATCATAAAGGACCTTGACAAATGCTTAATTGAAGTCTGGATACACTCTGTCTCTGTATCCAGAGATTTTTTTTAATCCAAAATTAAGGTAAAAATATATTTAGATGTGAATTATTATCAATGTTTCCATTAACTATATCACAAACAAGAAAATGTGTTTAGTATGATGACGTGACATACTGCTTCCTTCTCTAATGAACGAACCATTCTATAATCTCACCTAGAGGTAATACTGCTACTTGCTATGGGTTTTCAAGAATTTATCCCGTTCTTCTCCCTTTGGCACTTTAATCCTCTGGAACTTCTACTTTTCTATGACTCCTCAAAGACCAGTGAGAGTTGTTCAGGGATTGAGTTTTCAGATTCTTTCAGGGTCAATGGGTATAATTTGTCCTACCTTGGGGACTTGAAATCATTTGGACTAGCTAAATGCCTGTTTACAAATTCTTCTCCAAAGTTAAATTTCAGTTTCCTCCAACTAGTATTAGTTCTACCGTTTTTGCTCCACTTCTTTTCTCCTAAACAGAAAACAGAAAACACAGACAGACACAAACAAAATAGAAATTCAATATTTCTTAACAAATTTGACTCAGCTTTGAAATGGCTAAAATGTTGCTGTTTACCAACCAACAAATATTTGAGTGCCTACTGTGCTCAAGAAAGTAAACCAGTCAAAATGGGTGATTTCAAATTTTTCGTTTAGAGAAATATTGTTTACACATAGAAAGTTAATTAGCATTCAATACATTCAAAATATCAAATGAATAGTACAGAAATAGTAAGTACTCTTGAATTTCAAAAGAACTAGATGTCATACAAACACCCTAATGTACACAAATACCCTCAAACATCGACATAAATATACATACGAATGCACCACACACGCATACATACTCACCATCAGCTTAGTCATACCTCTGCCCATTCTTCCTTGGCAGCATGTCTAACTTGTATCTCATCCTTTTCATCCTCACTGTCATCCTCCAGTGAGATTCTGCTCACTTCGTCCCAGATCTCCTTGTCACCACACTCACTCTTCTCCAGTCCATCCTGTACATGGATAATTTTCTTATAGCTCCAGCTTGATGGCCAGATTGGTGTGGTTCAGAATTGTTAATTTATTAGTCACAATAGCTTCTATATGTATACATGTCATCTGCTCAAAAAAATCACCAGTAATTCTCTTTCC